TAATTTCATATTAGTTCTAACAGTTTTAAAGGCAAAGGGACCAAAGTGCCTCAATACCAAAGAGGGAAAGCTAAATATATACTCAGAAAGAATTGAACTTCACTCTCTATAAGAATCTTCTATCTATCATCAACTTTTTATGTATCGATGCTGGAGCTAATTTTATAATTATTTTCACCAATTACAACCAACTTTCTGCTCCCAATCCCAATCCAAATATATTTCTTTGTACAAATATACACAATAATAGCGCAGAATTACGCACAGATATATATATATATATATATATACTTTAGTTACTGTATACATATAAATATATTTCTCACCTCTGTTAAAGTTAAAACTCTATCAAAGCATACTTATTTCTAAACTGCTGTCTAGAATTATCGTTGCAATGCTGTCAGTCAGTAGGAAAGTGAGTAGAAGCATCTGTCAGCTTCTGACATAGTCTCTACCAAGTTGTTATGCTGAAACTGTTGTCATCTGTCTGCGCCATAAAGTTTCATTTGAAATTTTATTATTTTAAATAACTCTTCCTCCATTTTTAATAGCATTTCTGAGAATGCCACATTTTAGGTCATGCAATATCCGCATCATTATTTTACTACTACCCTTTGGTTATTTCTCCATTTGCGGTTCAGTGGTATTATGCAACTTTCGTGACCATCATCATTAAAGACAGCCGTCAGCCGTAGTCGCATCTTCATTATCCTTTTATTTTTCAAGGTGAAATGCCACATCGAAGGCAGGAAATTAAACTTGTTTTTAAAACTCTTTCGAGCGCAGCAAAAACGAAATTGGAAAAGGAAGTTAATAGCATTCGTTTATTGCATAAAAACTTGATAAACAGGCATTTAATTGTTTGTGGTTAGGTTGAGGTGCATTGTGTTTGCATGCTTTCGGATATTCGTAGGTGTGTGCGTGTGAGAGACCATATGAATATGCATGACTTTTACAAGCGATAAAGATCTTCATGCACTTGCAGTTTATTAAACACATTTATTTATTTTTGATGATCGGATTATATGATGGCGAATTGAGGACATTAATTTAAAGCCATATATTGGTTTTGGAAAATAATTTAATTTCGAAAAGTTGAATGAAGTCATATCAGGTCTCCATATGAATCATACGCACGTAAACACTAAATATAATGTAAAAATATATTTAGCATTATTTGTAAATTTTTTTTTTATATTTTAAGAAGTTTTCTAGTCTATTGGCCTGAATCTCGAGCGTCATTTTGGAAATTGATAAACAAATAAATGATATTTTACTATCCGTTTTTTTAAATTATTTTTGTTTTTTAGGTTTGTTTAAGTTTATATCACCGCTCTATACTTAATAGAGTCTACACTACAGAGGCTAAAATACAAGCTTTTAGTAATTTAAACTTAATTGTTTTTACTTTTATAACCATAATTTATTATGTTTAAACATTATCGCTTAATGTTTACTTCCTTGTTGCATAAAGTTTTCCACTGTACGTTAATATTTTGGTAAACAAAACAATTTACTTACGCAAATATTTCTACATAGCTATGTTTGCACTAATGTTGACGTTAACTATACACGAATTTTTTAAAATGAATCGACACTTTAGGCCATTGCAACTAGGTGAGTGGTTAACAATAGGTAATTTGTTATAATGCAACAATAATATTACTGAGAATAATTTACAATAATTTACATAAATATACATATATATGGTATACTCGTATATATGCATTTAAATTCAAAATTTTTTTCATTCTGGTTTAGTTAACGAAAAAAAAACAATTTGATTACTAGGTGTGCTAGAAAGCATTTGCTACGAAGCCCTGTTACTATAGAAGTTCTGATAAAATAGAGTCCGTTCAAAAAAAAAAGTTTACTTTGTTACCTTAGAGCATATCCGATCGGAAACTATTGTCTAAAGCTTATAAATGTTCCTACGCTTATAATATACGTATGTGGATTGCGCCCCTCGAGTCGGTTTATTTCGAGGAGGGTAATCGTCGGATTATTATTATTTTTATTATAGATCTTAGGCTTGTCATCTCTTAAAATAATAATTATTGAAATAGTTAGAGATACTGCCTTTTAATTCATAGGGAACTTATAGAAAATTCAAATATGGATATTTAAAGGTTGGTGAAAAGACAACCGATATATAATAGTAATATATGGTATAATTAGTATACTAATTTATCTTGAAGTGAAGGCTAAGCAAAATATCCACTTTTTTAATTCTAATCATCTAGCTCTGAAATTGTGTTGAATAAAGTCATTTCGTTTAAATAAAACACACAATGTAGTTTGAAATTGTATATATTTAAACCGAAATTTATAAATTTCCTGATATTGTACGTATTATATATATAATATGTACATAATCAAATACAGTTTGTTTTTAATTTAATTTATTTATCTTTTAATAATTCTATATTATATTTGTATTCACTCACTTATATTATTTATGGACACTTGTCAAACAATCGAACACGTGCTAGGCTATACTTTCAACAAATTTTACTTACATATATTATATTTTAGTTTAAATCAGTATCAATATAATTTTAACAAATTTCCAAATACATCTAAGATTGTTGGTTCCGTGGATCTTTCTTTCTAAGTACTTTCGTAAACAACAAATATTAAAATTAAATATAGAAAATTTGCTATACTTTGATATGAAATGACAATTTCTTTTGTTATCCAAAAAAAGAAGCAAATTTCCGAAATAATATTACTTAAAAAAATAAAAATTCTAGCTAGCCAAAAGATAGTCACACAATGCTGATTTAAAAACAACGAAATAATTAAAAAAAAAGAATAGAATGTTTTACACAAAAAAAGATTTATAATTTTTAAACCGTTAACACGTAAATTAGATAACAGTTTAACGGCAACTAACTTTATATTCTCAACACACAGCTGTAGATCACCATCGCAAACTGATTTACTAAAAAATTCGCTTGCCGTGAGCGAGCAGGTTGTGAGCGCGCCACAAGAGCTCTGCACAACAAAACTGAGGATTAACTGAGTAAAGCAAAGGTGTCGATACAACAACTTCAAGCTATGAATGTTGGATTTTTGCCTACAGACCCGGCGACGAGATCACCTTTCGGCAAGTGAGAGCCGTCGTAGAGCGAGTTATTGCATTCGAGCACGAATGATGAATGGACAAAAGCAAATTTCACTTTCGTTGAGAGCGCGAAAGTCTTAAACTTTACATATATGTACATAAATGTAGGAGTATATACAAATATACAAGTATTGTATATATTTGTGTATTTCGTATGTGAATATTTATTTGCTAACTACCATTATTATTGTTTGCCGGTGAGCGCTCTCTTTAGCACAGCTTGTGCATCAATGGTCAGTTGTTTGTTGTTTTAGCTATCTTTACCCACTTTGTACGCTGACTATGGCGAGTGCTAAGATAACTGTCTTTTGTCGGTTTGGCTGTTTTGCTGCCGTCGCTGGCTTAGCCAACGGGCTTTCTTCTTCTCGAGAGGCACTTGTTAGTTTTGTAGCAGTTGGAGCACCACAATATCCGACAGTGGGAAATGGATGGTGTTAAGTGTAACTTTTGAGCGCCAATTCGTGGTTTCTTTGAGCTTTTGTTTTCATGTTTAGTTGGCTTTTTCTCCAGCATTTGTTGACAATGTTGTTGCGCTGGCCACCCATTATTATTATTTTTTTGTACCCAATTGTTGTAGCATACTTTTTACATTTTTACATTTCACCTCGTTTTCTTTGCCCATTTTGCTGTTACATTTGTGTATTTGCTATTTCGCCTGGTTGAGTTGCGAGCATTGTGCCGTAATATGTGAATTGTGCGGTAATTTAGTCGCAGTTTTACTTACTACACTTTTTATTTGTATACTTTATGTCTTTGCTTTGTGTTATTATTTTCGGTTTTATACCAGCGCGTTGGTTTTTGCTTGCAAGTTACGAATTTTGTCTTTTCGCTGATATTGTTTTTATTATTTTATGACTTACATACTTGTATATGCTGAATAATCGCGATTTTTGTTATGTTTGCTTTTATTTTTGTAATCTCAATATTTTTATTGCTGGGCTGTAAAAAGTACTTAATTGGTTTTTGAATTTTTTATTAATTCTTTGAGAAATAAAACGAAAGCGAACCCAAAAAAAACTTTTAACAAAACTGTTGAATTAGTTTTCGGAACTAACTTTGTTTTTTTTTGTTATAAAAAGGTTTTCAATTCAAAATTAACACAAAAATTTAGATAACGAACACACCAACTTCACCATGTGTAGATCAGCATTCCCACCAGCACATCACCTGCATTCATATTGCCGTTTTGGCCAATACCTGTCTGCGAACGCTATGAAAAACAATGACAATGTCTGTGGAGACGAAACTGTGAGCTGCCGATGACTGCAACAGCTCTCCACTTGACATAGACGCGCACGCTGCAGCTGGTGGAGACGACGACAACAACAATAGCAACACCAACAACAGTAGCATAACCCAATACAACAACAATGAAAAGCACGGCAACAACTGCCTTCTGCGCATCGCCGGCGCCTTGCGAACCTTCGCCGGTCGCCGCATCACAAAATAGCCTACGACCACTGACACGTTATTCGGCAATGCTGCACAAGCCGCACACACCCATGCATATGCGGATACATTGACACAGGCTTGCACACACTAGCGCTACACTTATGGCTGTTGATGAAGATGACGCTGAATATGCTGGTGGCGTCTGAAATTTTTTGTATAAATGGCTGAGGTCTCAGTGTTGCATCGTCAGTACAGCATTTGGTTTAGTTTAATAAACAACATCAATAGCAACAGAAAGTGCAAAATATACAGAATTTTCCATCCTTCTATCCCCACTACTCACTTTTTTCTCACAACCAAAATTGAGCTAAACATTGCAAAGACCAGTGAAAGTCATCACTCATACGCACCGTTGCACAGCATAAGGATTACTTAAACGGTACGAGTGTGTGCGTGCTAAAAGGATTATAGCAGCACTTGATACTGTGTCGGTCGTGATATACTCTAGGTTTTCGGTTTAAATAACGTGTGTGTGCGTGTACTCGAGTTTAGCGTGCGTTTCACCATGAAAGCATTCATCTTATTATCCTGTGTAGCGCTGGCAGCTGCCAGGCCAGAGGCGGGCTATGCTTACAATAGGCCCGGCGGTGGTGGCGGTTCTGGTGGATTCGGTGGTGGTTCTGGTGGATTTGGTGGCGGTTCCGGTGGATTTGGTGGTGGTGGCGGTGGTGGACTTGGCGGTGGACTAGGTGGTGGACTTGGTGGTGGACTTGGCGGTGGCGGCGGAGGATTCGGTGGCAGCTCTGGAGGTGGTGGCGGTTTCGGCGGCGGCGGTTTTGGTGGCGGCGCCGGTGGTGGCGGTGGATTCGGAGGAGGTGCGTAAAACAAAGTGTAAAAATAGTGTGGCTGGCAGAAAATCTTTTAATTTTGCACAAAGTTTGTAAAATTACAAATCGTACTCGAGCAAATCGCAAAAAATTTGTCTGGAAAAAAGTATTAGTGCAATGTGAATGTATCGATATTTTTGGTTAAAGTTTCAAAAATAATTTTTTCGAGTTTGATAATTACAAGAATATATGTATCTTCTCTATCTAGTGCCGGAGAGCCAATAAGCTAAAAACATTTAAAAACTGCTATATTAGTATTATAATAGTATTTTGTACAAAAAGTTCAAAGATTTTATTTCATATTCTTTAATTACTTTAGGTGGCATCGGCGGCTTCGGCGGTGGCGGCGGTGGTGGCGGTGGTGGTGGCACCACTCTCGTACAGAAACATATTTATGTGCATGTGCCACCACCAGAGCAAGAGGAAGTTCGTCAACGACCCAACATACCCATCGGTCAAGCACAGAAACACTACAAGATCATCTTCATTAAGGCACCATCCCCACCCAGTTACCAAGCGCCAATTATTCCCCTGCAGCCACAAAACGAAGAAAAGACACTCGTCTATGTATTAGTGAAGAAGCCAGAAGATCAACAGGACATCGTCATTCCTACACCAGCGCCCACACAGCCCTCCAAACCCGAAGTATACTTCATCAAGTACAAGACCCAAAAGGATGGCGGCGGTGGTGGTGCTATTGGCGGTGGTGGAATCGGTGGTATTGGCGGTGGAATTGGCGGTGGAATTGGCGGTGGTATCGGCGGTGGTATCGGTGGGGGTATTGGTGGTGGCGGCATTGGCGGCGGTATCGGTGGTGGTGATGGAGGTTACTCCGGGGGTGGCGGTGGTAGTGGGGGTGATATCTCAGCACCTTCCTCCAACTACGGACCACCTGGCAAATCTGGACCATATTAAGCATAAATTGCGGAGAAAATTTGAGTGCAGCAAAAAAAATGCAACAGCTCTATTAGATTGGACGTAAAATACAAAAAACGACGACGATATTCGCGAACAAACCAAACGAACGGAATGGTGCTGGGCGGAACTCAAGCACATGAAAAATATAGCTAAGGCTGCCGGCTAGTCTTGTTAAACGATAACACACTATAATTATTTTAATTTAAATTTTTGTTTCGTCATTGAAATTCTGTTTATTACAACATCACGGAAACCGACAAAACCAAACCAAAATGGAAACAAAACAGAACAGAAATTGCATAAAGCGCCGATCATGCTGTGACTAAACCATAAGACATATGGCAGCTCTCAAACTGCCTTGAAAAATGACCTTGACTTTGACAAATTTGGCCCAATTCATTGCCGCGCTGCTTTCATCTCACACTCGATGCAAAACCAAGGTACTCCCTCGCGACTTTCGGTGCTCAAATGTCTAATGTCTGTGGTAAATAAAATGGAACTTGCCAATCATCCACATTATCCAGCAAGCATAAGTTCATCTTCATCTCGATTCTACTTCTCTACGACACTCTCTCCATCCCACTCAAACGCTCTCTACAACGCGCCATCTCTCGCAATTGTGTTGTATCTTGTTCTATAAGAATATCACATTTGGGCGTGTTATCTTTTGTATATAAGCCATTTCCCTGTATATCTCTACATATATATTGATCTTTTTGTTGTAAATGCGTATATATATAATAAATAATTTGCTAGTTATAAGTGCGATGCGTTGATTAAGATAATAACCCTCATTAGACCCACTTAAAGCGCTGTCTACATATATTGATAGACGCAAGCCCATAATATTACTTATTAATTTGCGAAATATGTATTAATATTTAAGTTTTTGTATTATGCGCAGTATAAAAAACAACGGTGACAAAATTTAAAAAAAAAACATGCAGGTCTTTTAATAGTGTTATAAACAAGGTGAGAGATACGTACAGATTTATATATTATATATGTGGGAAGAAGTATTCATCTACGAAAGTTACAGACAACTGTTTAAGTTTTACTTCCATTGCCTTATAATCACAATAATAGTTACAGCCTAGAGTTGGAGTTTGAAGGTTTGGTTCGAGATTTGATATTTTACCTCAAGGATTTGAATCAAACATTTATTGTTTATAACATTATCGCTATATTCGTGAAATAATTATTTTCTTTTCTTCCAATAATTTAAAACAAAAACCAAAAAATCTCTTATATTTTCTATGAAAAAAAAGGATTATATACGTAGTACAGGGTGGCGCACGAATCGTGCTGCAAAATAAACTGTAATAACTTTTTTTTTTAAATGAATGCTTGGGATACCGAAAAGAGGGATTGGATAGTGCAGCAGTATCATACTTCGCAGTCCGTCAGACGGGATTTGGGCGGCACTCTCCCGAGTAGATGGACCATTACGAGGTTGTTTAACTTGTTTGCCGAATCTGGAAGTATCGCAAGAAGAGCGTACCATCGAGATCCGTATGTTCGTGTTCAAGAAACAATCGCGGCTGTTGTATCGTCAATTCAGGCTAACCCAAGACTTTCGACTTTCGGAAACTATTGAAATGACCGAAGAAGACAATAACTTGATAAATTGACTGTTTATGTCTTACGAGGCCCATTTTAATCTACACGGAAATGTAAACAAGCAAAATTGCCATATACGAAGTGAATCAAAATCAAAAATTATCCACGAGACGGAACTGTGCGGTGCGCAGTTTCATCAAAGTGTATTATCGGGACAAACTTCTTTGAAGAAACCGGTGTCAATAGGCACCCTTGTGTAAAGATTTTGAATAAGATTTTTACCAAGAACTGCGCCGTAGACGTATATCTTTCATTAGCGTTTAGTTTCAGAAAGACGGAGCAACTGTACATACAGCCAGATCGGTTATTGCGGAACTCCAACGAAAATTTTAAAACAAAGTAATATCAAGAAACTCCACTTTCCTAGAAATCTGACTGAATTGAAGCAATCAATTAAATCGATAATTAAGACAATCCCGACTTCAATCCTTCAGGCCGCAATAAATAATTTTCTAATTGGTTGTCGCATATGCGTGGCTAAGCATGGAGGTTATTTACGGTACATATCTTTTACAAATAATTTATTATATGAAATAAAATTTTCTAGAAAATAACAAAAATATATAAAATGCATTGCTAGTACGATTTGTGCGCCACTCTGTATATGATACGATACTCATGTATGGGTTGCCCTTTTGAAAAGGTGTGATCACCGAACCCTCATATTTAAAAATGAACAGTTTTATTTTTCCTGTCATGTTCTCTTATTGGCCCCAAATATAGTCCCCAAGACTGTTTACTAACCTTGGTAACGTCTCTCAAAATCCATTATATCTTGATGGAAGTATTCTGCTTGTTCTTCCGAATAAGCTCTTCCAGCCCATTTTATCTCTAAATTTTTCTAAATGAGAATGTAACATGTCCTGTCTTCAGGAACATTTAACATCCGATGACGGATGTAATCATATCAGTTATCAGCTCGTCACAACTGTCATCTCTGTGGTGTTAGTTAACAAATATTATAAAAAAAGAGGAAATAAACTCACCATCCAGAATATCTCTGCCAGAGTTACATGGCACATGTGGAGACCTTTTTTGGCCTGATTTTTAATAGGTAGATTGAAGTAAACTTGATATGATTCACAAATCTTTAAATTTTTGCTCTTGTTAGCAGCGTCTTGTTTGCAACTTCTCGAAGACATTTTGTACTGGTTGTTACAGGAAGCAAAATTATGAAACACATTATTTCTTTGCAATTTGCAAACACATACTGTCGTGCACAATGAGCGATGTAAGCGACACTATCTCTCGTGCTCTTCCCTTACTTTTGACAGCAACGACCCGCAAAGACCGACATTATATGGGAGCGAAAATCAAAAATGGTCAAATCGTTTTAATTGTATAAAAAACAAATTTTTAAAATGTTTAATTGTTCTTTATCATATATATTATATTTCCTTATATAATCAGAATATATTAAATGCTCAAAACGGTTTGTTTTTTGCTTTTGTTGACCTGTGTAATTGATGTTTGCTCTTCCAAACGTAGTAGTTTGCGATTTGCTGGTTCATTATGTGGTACAAACCAAAAACTGGTAAACACTTCATCGGAATCGACCAATACCTTAAGTGGCATTATCTAATTTGTACATATCTACTTAACCTATTTAAATTAAAAATTAAATATTTCTGTAAAAGTTGTATGAATTTATCTCCACAATTTTAAATATTATCATATACAAAATATTAATACAAAAATGATATTACAATAGTAACTGAAAATATGAAATTTTGAAATTATTAAGATTTTGTAACATTTAATTTTTTGGCTTTTGTAACCAACATTAAAAGGGAATTCATATTCGCCCACTAACCTCAAAAGTACTTAACGATCATAATCGAACTTTTGAATTGGAAAACTCTACAAAAAAGTTGTGAAATGCATTAGAACTTAGAAGGAAAGGTGAAGTGCTTGCCATGCAAAGAGGTTGGTAGCTGAAGACTTTTTTAGACGGTGGGAAAACTTAAATATTGCCTAGACTTCACGAGTTTGAGTAAGTTGCAGAATATGGTGGCGAAAAACATTTCCATCTATTATACTTGAGTTTATGCACCATAAAGTTGTAAAATTTTGTGTTAGCAAGCGTGGAATTGCATTTCTTGTGCTGAAAACTTTGAACAGTTTTATGTTAGTGCGTGCGAGAGTGTACCGCATATATTTGTTTTAATCCCACATCTCACTTATGTGGTGTTGCACAGGCATCTTTCGCTACCAGGCGTTTAATATATATATGTAGAAATGGCTGCAAAAATCTTTCAAAAACTTTGGCAAGACATAGTTGATTCATAAGACAGATAATGCATGATTTTAGGTCAGAAAATACTTATGCTTTAATTTTAAATTATATTAGAAGGAGTTTTGTATAGGAAGGTAATCAGAAGAGAAAGTAACTTCCAGCCGTTCCTGATTCGGTATATAATATATATGGCCATGTCCCCTAATGTCTCTAATGTACCTCATAAGCCACTATACCTATATCAAACAAATTCGCTCAGGACAAATTCTTCCCGCCCCTTCTCCGACAGTGTGGAAATCGCAGTAGGTGAAATCGCATAATAACCACGCCCTCTCCCTTATAACGCTTATGTTAAAAACTAGGGCATCAATGTAATAGGTGGACAAAAAGTGTAAAACCGCCTGAAAGCCTACTACAAAAGAACCACTCCACCAATTTCAATTAAAAATCCATAATAATAGTACAAAATATTACCCAAAAATATACAAATATCGCTTAGACCTCAAAATATGTACTTATATTAATTTCCTATACTATACTACTGCAATGTATTTTTATTCTTTTTGAGAGCAGCCTTACCATGGCAATTACTAAAAACTAATTTGTACAGTAAAAGTAAACTTTCAGTCTGCTGCTTCACTTGCAGTGTCAAAGCAGTCATATTTTTATATTATCATTTCCTACTAGGGAAGTCCAATTGCAAATGCCATGTAATTAAAATAACCAAAAACAAAGCGCACAAAACACTTTTACTATATTATAAATCGCCGTTAAGTGCGAAACGGGTGTAGGAAATGAAAAGCGGTGGATGGCAATGTGTTTTTAATTGGCAACAAAGCAGAAGATGCCACCTTACTCATTTGCATGTTATTGCGAAAAGAGCCAAACGCACTTAACAAGTGTAAAACACACTTAAAGAGTGACTAATTGGTTGTTGGATGTGAAGATGGAATATTCAAATGCTGTAAGTGAAATAAAACAGTTTTTTAACGGGGGTCAAACATTCGTACCGTTCCTATTAGAAGAATCAACTATATTTTTTTTGCTATTTAAAGAAACAATCCAATAACAGTGCACAATTGTATCGGCAAGTTTGAAGGTCTAGAAGGTCTAACCTCAATGACATTTATGTTGAATAATAAAATCGATCTTAGGGGTGTTTTTTAAACGTTATGAACTTTTCGGCCTGCCGGAGATGAGTTTTTCACAAAGACCTGTGAATATGCACAAGTATCTTTGGAGTTACATTTCTATACAGAATCCTCGCAACTACTACAGTTTTATTATTATAAACCAATCAATACAATAAAAAAAATTTATTTACAAATAAAGGCAAATTGCGATATAAGAATCCAAGAGATTGTACTTGAGATAATAAATATAATAATAAATTTTGCATTTGGTATTTTAATGAAATTTTAATTCTGATTGAACACATGCTTATGTTTAGAAATACATTTTTTATGTATGAATTGTTTTACTTTTAAATAATTGATATATAAACTATCCTATCTTTTAAGTTGGATCCAACTAAATGCAGTGTGCTACATTATACTAAAATCGGTTCAGTAATTTGGAAGTTTACACCGGACAAAGCGTGACACATAATTTTTATATATAAGGATGACATTTATACATTTTTCAATATCTTACAAGATAGTTGATTATCATGCGCTGTTTTTTTAGATACCCACTTCAGGGTGAAATAAAAATGTCGAAGCCTTCTTAGATGTTTTCTGGATTCGGTGTGTGAAAGTAAAGCAGGCCGATAGCTCATGCTTCCGTTGGTAAATTTCTTTTTATAATAGACTGTTTTTTATCCAAAACCGTGCTTCTTTCGATTAAAGTAGCCTTGAATACACGTGTATCAATATTTTATCTCGCGAAGCACAAGTTATCAAACAAAAAGCTTCTCAGACTCCTACCTATTTTAATAACGTCATCACAAACTTTCAGTTAATATATATATTTCTAATTGCTCCATTAACTGGCGAAAGTAACTCGTCAGCTGATGCGTACACTAAAAGATAAAAGAAAAAAATCAAAAGCGTGCGGAGGTACCGAGAAGTGAATTGAGCGAACTTTTGCGCG